AGAGAAGGAGACATGGGAATACAGAAGAGAGAGAGAGAGAGGGAAAGATAGCGAGAAAGAGGAAATAGGATGAGATAGAAAAAAAGAAAGAAAGGGCAGGAAAGAGAGAGGGAGAGGGAGAGGGAAACACAAAGACAGAGATAACCAGACGGAATTGGGAGAGCGGCTGATTGTGTCACTTCGTTTGGGCCTCAATTGCGCTGATGAATTTCTATCTCCCTTCCTAAACTTTAATCAAGGCTCAATGCTTTCGGTGTCCGGTATATATATCTCCATATCTATGTCTTTTTGTCTGTTAGAATGTGTGTATATATATATATATATATATATATATATATATATATATATATATATATATATATATATATATATATATATATGTATGTGTGTATATATATATATATATATATATATATATATATATATATATATATATATATATATATATATATATATATATGTATGTATATATATATATATATATATATATATATATATGTGTGTGTGTGTGTGTGTGTGTGTGTGTGTGTGTGTGTGTGTGTGTGTGTGTGTGTGTGTGTGTGTGTGTGTGTGTATGTGTGTGCATGTGTGTGTGTGTGTGTGTGTGTGTGTGTGTGTGTGCATATATATATATATATATATATATATATATATATATATATATATATATATATATATATATATATATATATATATATATATATATGCATATACACACATACACAATACATATGTTCATAAACACTGACTTGAGTATAAACATACACACTCTCCAGTTTGTTACGTCTCGTTTTTCTTTATCGTTCTTCTTTTTCTTCTTCTTCTCGTCTTTCCTCCTCTCCGTGTCTCAAGTTATCCCGTTAATCCAGCTGACGCGGTTAGACAGGGATTTATCTCCTCCGGGATTAGGTTCTTGTGTGACGCAGTGTGTCTATTGTCTTGATTGTATTTTCTCCTTTTTTCTCTATTTTTTTGTCTTTTCTTTTTTTTAAGCAAGATGAGTTTGTGTGGTTTTGTTTCGTCGTTTCAGATTATTGTTTATTGTTTTTTTTTCTGGTTGTCTGTCTTCGTTTCTCGCTTCTTACTTTTAGTCTCTCTCTCTCTCTCTCTCTCTCTCTCTCTCTCTCTCTCTCTCTCTCTCTCTCTCTCTCTCTCTCTCTCTCTCTCTCTCTTTCTTTCTCTCTCTCTTGCTCTCTCTCTCTCTTGCTCTCTCTCTCTCTTGCTCTCTCTCTCTCTCTATCTATCTATCTATCTATCTATCTATCTATGTTTATGTATTTGTATCTGTTTGTTCCTCTATACGTCTCTTTGTATATCTTTCTTTCTATCCATCTAAAAAGCTCATTTTCGAATTCATCAAATCGTTTATTAAAAATGAACAAAATAATAGATAAATTAATCGACTAAAAATGTAAAAGTTAAATTTATAAGTTAAAGCGATGACAGCGAATGAACGCATCACCACCCACAAATATGTCAAGTGCTTCTATTGTTTATTAAAAGAGATGGTTTAATGGCGCTGTATTTCAATATGCCGGGGAGGGAGAAAGAGGGAGAGAGAAATACGAAAGACGAGAGAGGGAGGAAGTAAGATAAGGAAGGAGGGAGGGAGGGAGGCAGAGAGAGAGAAGGAAAGGGGGACAGGGTGGGAAGGAAGATGAGAAGGGGTAAAAAAAAAAAAGGAAAAAGAGAGAGAGAGAGAGAGAGAGAGAGAGAGAGAGAGAGAGGAGAGGGTAGGGAAGGACTGAGGGAGGAAGAGAGAGAGACAGATAGACAGACAAGCAGGCAAACAGACAGACAAAAAGACCGGCAGACAGACAGTCAAACAGACAGACTATAAAGTAGAATAAGAAAGGGAGAGAGTGAAAAAAACTAACGATCGCGCGCGAGCTCATCTGTATCTCACATCCTCCTCCTCCTTAAGAAGAAGAAAAAAAAAAAAAAAGAGAAAGAGAAAAAAATAAATATATATAAAAAACACCCCGTACATAAACATAAACTTCCCGTCCGTAGCCGCATAGTATGAATATTCTTCATTGCTCCAACTTTGCCCTAATGCTTATACAAACTTTCCTCGTTCAGTAAAAGAAACTTAAGTCTCGCTGTAATGTAATATGTTGCCTTCCTTACCTTATAAGACTTTTTTCCCCCAAACATTCAGTGTAAGTTTCTCGGTAATGTTCCTTCCCCACCTTTAATCTCAGAGAAAAGAAGGAAAAAAAAAGCAGAAAAAATATTATTTCTTCAATTCATCATAACATTTTCCACGGGCTATGTAAATCTGTTTCATTAAGTGTAGTTGGAGTAGTTACGGGGTAATGGCTTTTGTAATGTTGGCTTCTTAGGAACCACTTTTTATGGAAGATTTATGGAAGGTTTGATGCATGGAGTAAGTTTGACTTAAGACTATATGTCATTCTGTATGTCAAAAAAAAAAGAAAAGTTTTTTTTTGTCAATATCCATTATCCTCAAAGGTCATTACTGGGATAGATTTTGAAACTTCTGTAGTCTTTATTTAATTTAGTTATATTTAAGGTCTAAAGTCTCTCTCTCTCTCTCTCTCTCTCTCTCTCTCTCTCTCTCTCTCTCTCTCTCTCTCTCTCTCTCTCTCTCTCTCTCTCTCTCTCTTTCTCTCTCTCTTTCTCTCTCTCTCTCTCTCTCTCTCTTTCACTTTCTCTTTCTCTCTTTCTCTTTCTCTCTTTCTCTCTTTCTCTCTCTCTCTCTCTCTCTCTCTCTCTCTCTCTCTCTCTCTCTCTCTCTCTCTCTCTCTCTCTCTCCTTCTCTCTTTTTCTTTCTCTCTTTCTCTTTTTCTCTTTCTCCCTTTCTCTCTCTCTCTCTCTCTTTCTCTCTTTCTCTCCCTCTCTGTCTCTCTCTCTCTCTCTCTCTCTCTCTCTCTCTCTCTCTCTCTCTCTCTCTCTCTCTCTCTCTCTCTCTCTCTCTCTCTCTCTTTCTCTTTTTCTCTTTGTCTTTCTCTTTCTCTCTCTCTCTCCTTCTCTCTTTTTCTTTCTCTCTTTCTCCTTTTCTCTTTCTCCCTTTCTCTCTCTCTCTCTCTCTCTCTTTCTCTCTCTCTCTCTCTCTCTCTCTCTCTCTCTCTCTCTCTCTCTCTCTCTCTCTCTCTCTCTCTCTCTCTCTCTCTCTCTCTCTTTTACTTCTTTCATTAAACTCAAGTGTGGAAACATCGTATGTCGCGGCGGAGTGGTTCAATTCCACCCGAATGTAAAAGCAAGATTGATTATAGTGTTAAATAAAAACTTTGACCTCGGGTGGAAAGGACACGGAGGGAAATACTTAGTTGGCCCTTACTCTGTGTCTTCTTTCGTTCTTCCAGCGGTAGAGAAAGAGAGAACGAGAAAAAAAATGGAGAATGTTGGAGAGAAACAAAGGAAGGAGAGGAAGGATGGAAGGAAGGAAATGTGGTACAGAGAAAGAGAGGGAGAAAGAAGAGGTGGAGATGAAAGTTGAGTTGTGGAGAGGATTAGGAAGAGAAAGAGAGAGAGAGAGAGAGAGAGAGAGACAGAGACAGAGACAGAGACAGAGACAGACAGACAGACAGACAGACAGTCAGACAGTCAGACAGACAGACAGATTCAGACAGAGAGACAAACGAATAGACAGAGAAAAAGATAAACACGAAAAAGAAATAGAGAGAGGGAAAAGAAACAAATACTAAAAAAATACAAACAATAAAAACACACACGAAGATATTCGACAAAAATAATGATAAATAAAAAATAATGATATCAATAATAAAATCGATAACCGAGTCACCATAGCCTCACGCATAAACCCGCTTATCAAACTGCCTTATATAGTACATTATGATAAACCCGACGAGACACACCCTTCAAAAGTCTCTCTGAACGTCAAGAACTCGATAGACATTTTCTCTTTTCCTTTCTTTATCCTCTATTTGCATATATCTCGTTTTATTTGTTTCTCTGCCCATTTATTTGTTTGTTTTCGCATTCATTGATAATTTGTATCTATATACTCATCTTTCTATCTCTCTATCTTATTCTTTGTCTGTCTAGCTATCTAACAATTTATCTGTCTACCTATTTGTCTATCTCTCTGACTCTTTTACATATATCTATCATTTTCTTAAATCCATCCATCCATCCATCCATCCATCTGTCCATCCCATCTATCTACCAATCTATCTGTCCATCCATCTATCTATCTACCGATCTATCTGTCCATCCATCTATCTATCTACCGATCTATCTGTCCATCCATCTATCTATCTACCGATCTATCTGTCCATCCATCTATCTATCTACCGATCTATCTGTCCATCCATCTATCTATCTATCGATCTATCTGTCCATCCATTTATCTATCTACCGGTCTATCTGTCCATTCATCTATCTATCTACCGATCTATCCGTCCGTCCATCTATCTATCTACCGATTTATCTGTCCATCCATCTATCTATCTACCGATCTATCTGTCCATCCCTCTATCTATCTACCGATCTATCTGTCCATCCATCTATCTATCTACCGATCTATCTACCTGCCCACCTATCGATACGTTCATTAACATGTCCGTCCTCAGGTAATTAATGCAGCGACCAGGCCCTCTTAGGAACCCGGGACGTGAGAATGCAGTTTAAGTGTGAACAGCTGTGTTTGTTTGGTATTTTGAAACTCATTATTGCGAATATTGTTATTGTTATTACTGCTGTTGTCATTGTTGGAGCGTCTTTTCTATTTTTATTTTTAGATCTTTTTCTTTTTTTTAGGTACAAGAAATAGGCTTGTTTTTTTTCCTGGAGAAAATGGTAATAGTTTTTTTTTTTATAGAGAAGAAAGATGTGTTGGAAATGTTATTTTGTTACTTGCTACATTAGGGTTATTATCATTGCTAATGTTATTGTTGTTTTTGTTGGTTGTTATATTGCTATTACAGTTGCTGTCATTTCTGTCAAGTACTGTTTTTTCTTTTATTCTTTCTTTTATTCTCAAGAAATGGTCCTGATTGCTTTTATTTTTTCAG